TGGTTTCTTCTTTAAAATTATCGTTTGAAATTAGTTCATGTGCATCGAGATTATCTGAACTTTCAACCGGTATAAGAACAGTTTTTTTATATTCAACTACTAAAACCGTAGACGATTTAAGCATATTGAACTTTTCCAACGTACGTATCATTTCAGATTCGTAGATATTAAATGCATCGAGCATAAACTCTGCTATATCAACGTGCGTATTATTGATAATAGCAAATGTTCGAATACGCTTTTGAAAAGCATTCTCACGTTCTTCAAGTTCAACACTCGGAATTTCACTAACATTTTGATTCAAATCTTCACTTTCCATATTCGAATCAAGTTCAATGTCACCAACCGACGGATTCACTTGCTCAATATGGTTTTCACTCGCGATGTTACTTTGATCGTTCATTTTTACTTTAAGATAACTCACTTCAACTTGATGGCTTTCGGAAACTTAATGTTGAAATATTTTTTTTTGTTGCGTCTTTTAAATTATAATTTCATGGTCAGATGTGATTGAACATGAAAAAACATGAAAAAACATGATCTCATACTCTTAAATTTATTTTTCCAATCATATGACAACCGATCGTTTTAAATAATTTCCGCTAAAGAAGATAGCTTTATAAGTTATTCATGAATAAATAATCGATTTGATATTTACCACAAAAAATCATGATCACATTGAATTAATTTATGCGATCCGACTGGTTTCTAATCATAAATCATTCGCTGATTTCCATGTTTATGGATTTTAACTTTCCATGTTTATTGATTTAACTCTATACTCATCATAGAATCAGATTTATGAATGATGTAATTTCATGTTGAAATTAAGTAATCGACACGACATAACACATTCTAGAATATTCTATCTCATAGAAAATTATGTGAGTGGGGGTTTAATTTTGCAAATAAAAGCAGATGTAACCATCTGCAAAAATCAGTTTATTTTTACAATGGCTGAAGCATTATTTCTTTTGCAAGAAGCGTGTTCGGAAACCAAAGCTTACAATGGTTTCTCGAAATTACCACATGGCTATCACAAAATTTACAAATTCAAATTGGCCAACAACAAACAATTCAACCCAAAAGAGAAAAAAACAGCAAAAAAAGTGTTATTGGTAGAATTAAAAGATGAGGTGCTGTTTTTGCCGGAATATTTTGCGCTAGCTATAAAAGAGGATGAACGTAAGGTGTTTGATTTAAACAACGATGGAGTTGAAAAGTTCCTGTTTTTTGGCGGTGCACGACCAAACAAGTGAGTTAAAGATTATAACATTTGTATTGGTTTTTATTAATATTGTAATCTTCAATTTGCCTAGGTCATGGATCATTCGTATTCATACGCTTGAAGAAGTGCGTGCGGCAGGCGGTTTACCAGTCGACTATGATAGTCAGCTAACATAAATAACGAAACCAATTTGAATGCGGCAAGCGTTTGTCTCTCGACAACATAACATGAATATCAAAAACCAATATGAATAAGTTTCAATAAACATTGTGTATAACGAAAAACTATTTTGTTTGTTTTTGTATGATTATTTTCAGAATATTTGTATCGCAAACCATCAATAAAACAAAAATCAATTTTATTAAATTACACATATGTATTTTTTTCTTTTTCTTAATCAGTTGAAAGCACATACCTGTTTTCTATCGTGTGAATATATATTTTCAATTGCATATTTTTATTTCTCTCTCTGACTATCTCTTTTGGTTTCAATTTTTGAATTCAATTTCCATAACACTTACGTCCTCACCAGTTACATGTTGTAACTAATACCGAATCATTGTGGTCCATACATCAATGCAATCTATTGTAACTATGACATCGATATGCTAGTATGGTTTAGGCCACTGATCGGTATACGAGAAGCGAGTTACGATCTTACAGTAAGAATTGATTTTCAAATAAAAAACCAAAGAGATCACAGAGAATTGAACCATCGATACTATGAGCATCGAGCCAACACTCTACTCATCAGCCATCCAGGCCTACGAAAATATACAGAATCAATGGAAATATATACAACATATTTGAATGGGTTTTACGCACATATAGCATTATCTTCGTTTCAGTGAGTTTCTCTCATTCTTCTCCTCCCATTCACATACTATCGTACGCACATTCCAAACATGAACATTCGTTTTTTGAACGAGTATTACGCACATATAGCATTATCTTCGTTTCAGTGAGTTTCTCTCATTCTTCTCCTCCATTCACATACTATCGTACGCACATTCCAAACATGATCATTCGTTTTTTGAACGAGTATTACGCACATATAGCGTTATCTTCGTTTCAGTGAGTTTCTCCCATTCTTCTCCTCCCATTCACATACTATCGTACGCACATTCCAAACGCGTGGATTTTTTCTATATATAGCGATGATGATCGTACGCACTTTTTCTCACATCATTCGTTCGCGCGCTATTTTTACATACATTCGTACGCACATGCCTCAATCACTTGTTATGTATGTTTGTGATACGCACATTCTATGATATAGTTATTCGACATATATACACACGAACGCTCTCATTCTATATTTATTCATG